AGTAGAGGAAGAATATATCAACAAGCGAACGCTAACTTTTCATTAAATCATATAGCAACGATAGAACAAAATTGTTGTATTCAATCAAACAGAAGTGCTGTCCCTACATCAAATGATATATATTTACAATTAAATGATACTACCGGTATATCATTAAATAAAGCAACATTATTTAACGATACAGTTGATATAGTATGTAATTTATCTTGTGAAAATGAATTTCGTGTTGATGTAGGAGTGACAGGAACACTTGAATTTAGAGTATTAGGTAGTAGCGTTGATTTTTTTGATAAATGTAGTATTACACATACACAACTAGCCGGACCAATAGACCAAATATTTTTTAGAAATCCAGATACAAACGGAGATACGATTTTAGAGATTGGAACGAAAAATGTTTTAACTGTTAATGATGTGGGTATGGATATTATCGGTAATATTAGTTATACTGGTTCTATCGGTCCATCATCAGATAAGAGACTTAAGGAAAATATTAAGGAATTAGAAACTAAAAAGGCTGTGGAATTAGTTAAATACATTGTCCCTAAAACATATAAATATATTGATAGGGAGAGACACGGTGATAAATCTCATTGTGGTTTTATTGCTAATGATTTTTAACTGATAAAATGCCAAAGGAATGGGATAATATTATTATAAAAGGAAAAGATGGATATTTAAAGTTTGATTATAGTATGACGACACCATTATTATGGAGTGCTTTACAGCATACAATAAAAGAAAATGAAGAAATTAAAGAGATGGTAAAAGAAATGAAAAAGTCTATAACATATTTAAAAAGTGAATTAACGAAAATAAGAAATAAGTCTAATTAAGGATTACATTATTTGATAAAAAGATTGAAAAGAGAATAAAAATAAAAATGTTTAGTTTAACAAAGAAATATACAAGACAATTATTATCATTATATTTTAGTTTTTATAATTGGAGAGAAATAGCGAAGGTTAAAGTTAAAACAGAGGAACTATTAAAAGAATTAGGAATACTATACATGTGTATATATGGGAAGTAAAATTTCAAAAGGTAATAATGAGAACGGTTATATTAATCAAATAAAGAATACTAATGAAGAGGAATTAGATTTAAGCAATATTGATAAATTACAAATTAAGGTACTGAAAGAAATGATAAAAGATATACAAGAAGTAAAGGAAAGGAATAGTGATAAAATATATTATAAACTTCCACCAGTTAACTTATGTAATTATTGAATAATATGATTGATAATATTATGTATTCATAATATTATTAATCAACTGGTTCTAGTTTTTTGTTATAATAACGCTCCATATTATTTTTATTATAGTATTCTTTATGTTGTTCATAATTTTCTTTGCTTTTCTGATTACATTTTCTTTGTTTTCTATATACCACTGGTGCTTTTTCTATTTTACATGTTCTTCATTCTTCTTTGCCCATTGCTTTTTGTATTCTGCTCTCTCCTCTCTGTCTATCAGAGGACGAGATACATGTAATGTTGCATTTAATAGTTCTATGTATTCTCTCTCTTTCCTTTTAGCATCCATTTCATTCTCACATTTGTGCGTTTCTATTAATATCATCTCCCAATTATCCCAACCTCCTTTATCAGCAATAAAATTATACAAATGTTTGTTGTTTATTCTTCCATTGTACATTTTTCCGTTAGAATTATAATGACTTGTCTTATGTGCGTTCTTTCTGTTTTTGAAGTTAGTTGTATGACCTACATAACAATCCTTAATATCTAAGTCCTTACAAACTATCTTATAGAAATGTGTTTGGTCATAATTAATAGGTTTCATGGGCATTATATCTTATTAAGTTATATAAAGTTTTATTTCCTTAATATCTTTTTCATCAACTATTGTTCTATGAGAAAAGTTTTTCATAAAGACCTCGTCAATGTCACTTTTTGTTGGGTTACAATATAAAAAACTATATGGTTCGCTCGTTGCTTCATTGTAAATCTCCAATAACAACCTTTTTGATTCTGCTACATTTTTAGTGGCTGTCAACATCTTTTTATTAATAAGCATCGCGGCGAGTTGCTCGGTCATTGTCTCTATCTCTTTCTAATTTCTCATCTTTAAGAAAAACAACTGTCTAGAATTAACCCTTATAATTCTTGACAGTGCCCTGTAGGCTTGAACGCTGGTAATCACTGTCAAGGCATTGTGTCTCCCGCGCACATACAACTGATTTAACAAACTTGAATGTCTGCTAAGTTTTTCATTATCCGCCATATCGTCTATTACAATCAAACAAGAATGTAATGTTTTATGTTCGTTTTTCTTCTGATATTCTATAACTTTATGGTGTCTTTCTATAACTTGCTGTAAACCTGATGCGATATATTCCTCAAAGAAACACTGTTCTTTTTCAGTATTTACTTTCATTTCGTCCTGTATGTATTTCTTCACTGGTGTCCATATACTGTCAACATTTATTGAAGGTGACCATATATAAATACGAGCAAAGCAGTTTCTATAAATATCTAATATGATTGATTGTAATAAGATAGTTTTTCCTGAACCTGATGGTGCAGATATAATCATAGAAGCTGGTAATCTCGGAGCAATTTCATATTTAGATTGTTTGAAATCATATTCTTTAACATTAGCTGGTTTAACAAATGGAACGTCTGACATTATTATTAATACATAGAAAATTTAAATGATATAAGAATTACTTTCTAATGTATAACGACAGCTCGTGAGAGAACCCTCGTCCCTAGCTGAAATTGGTTTCACCTAAAGTGCCCCGTGATGCCCGAAACAGTGAGTGTGAAACGCGAAAGGGGAGTAGCAAACGCACTTACTTAATTGGTGCTACATAAGATAGTGCCGTGAATTAGTTTTATAATACAACTTTTATTATAAAAGCTTTATTATAAACAATTTAATCTTTGTATTAGTATATGAGCGATAAATCTGAGTTCAAAACAGATGTCATACTGAGACTAGAAAGGATTGAAAAAATATTAAATGAAAGGTCTACAAAAAGCTTTAACAAAACTCCAGTTGATGCAACGTATGAAAACAAAAAGAACACATATTTGACTAAACTGAATAACAAGGAAATTTTACAACCGAAACAAACAACACTTGACTATTACAAGATAAAGTATAACGAAGAGACGAAAACCTATTCATAATATTATCATCTAATAATAATGAGTGCATTAGATGATAATATAGTTGCTGAATTTGATACTCGTAGAGTTTTAAAACAGCAATACATACAATGTAAAAAATGCAGACAAATAAAAGGCGTAGAAGAGTTCGTAAGCAAACGTCCTAACAAAGTATACAATAAAATTTGCAGGTGTTGTTTATATAATAATGAAAAATATAGGTTTAAAGATATGAATTGACAACAGGATATTTTCTTTTTTAAAAAACGTTCTTAAGAAACATACTTAAAGAAATAACAACTTAATATATTATAATAGAAATGAGTGACAGTGAGTATGGAAGTGAGAATGAATATGAAAGTGAGAGCGAGTATGAAAGTTCATCTGATGATGAAACTGAAAATTTGTATTATGAACTAAAGAAGTCCAATTATTTTAAAAACTGTACTTCATGTAGACAAGTTAGGAACAGACAACAAATCTTACTAGGTAAATGTGATGCCTTACATGATTTAACACATATGATTACAGACTATTATGGCTGTGATAAATGTTGTATGTCAAGAAACTTATTTGATGATTATATATTACCCTTTACTAAGTTATGTAAGTATCCAGAGTATGATGAAGTTCATAAGATAATACAAGGCTATGTGGATAAGGATAAATATACGCTTGAATTACACAGTGAAATGAAAACAATGTATGAAAACCTAGATAAATTTGATTTCTACAAATGGCATCAGGAGAGAAAGAATTATTTCAATGATACTTTATGCGGTTATTCTCATTATTATCAAAGAGTATATAAGTTTTTTCTTGAAATAATATATCATATAAAAGGAAACGCCGATGATGATATACCTTTAGAACTTTTATAATCAGAAGAATTAACAGAGTTCTTAAATTATATGATAGTGCAAAATTCTACGTGAGCGTAACATAGTCTACCAATGATAATTTAATTTTATTATTAAATTATTATTGAATGCCGCACCCTACTACCCATACTATGCCCCATAAAATGAATAACCCTAAGCTTGCCCATTTCGGGATGTTACATCACCTGATAAATAGGATGAGATAGAGTATTTTAAGGATAATGAGCTAGTAGTTGTTATTTATGTGGATATATATGTTCACGGTGATGTAATACCCCAAACTGGGCAAGGCCCTCCCTAACTGTCTTTGCACGTCGGCAGCCGGCGGCCGTCTGCGCCGCAGACCGCGGTCAGGAGACCCGAGCTTCCTCGAGAGCTTCTGGAGCCTCTCAGACGGCCGCAGGGACGGACGGGGCTGGGAAAGGGCGGGTCGCGTCCCAGCGTTGGCCCCCGAAAGGTCATGGGGAGGCCCCGGCGGAGGAGGAGGAGGCGCTCCCCCGAAAGTTGAACTCTCAGCGGCGCATGGGGAAGGCCGGGCGGAGCCTTTCTTTTGCCATCATCGCCACAATCCTGCTTGCTTTCGTGAGCTGAGTGTGTAAACTTCATCGGTCTACCAGGACAAACTTTCCCAGTTTCTCGGGTGTCGGGACTGCGAACCCGATTCCCATACACATTCCTCGTTCAAGGCTTCAGCCGGAAAGTAATTACATCAGGCCTTGCCCCCGGTCAGGCTCGACATGAGGCCCACATTGCCTCGTTTTACCAGGGTTTGAGTCCTGTCGGGTGAGGAGAGCCTCATGAATCGTGGTCGCTCAGCCTGCAGCAGGTGCTCAAAATCATCGCGGTGAATGCCCATGTGCCCCGCTTGCTTATCCCCAGTGGCTTCGTCGAACTCTTTCATCTCAGGGCTGGCCACAGGGAGATGAGAAGGCGCGGGAGGGAAGGTGGGGTTCAGAACGCGCGGACGGCGGACGACCGTGTCTCTTTGTCTGACTGAGGGCCTGGGTTTGTGGCCGTGGCAGGCCTGGCCGGGCAATGGGGGCCCTGAAAGCCCTGGGGCGCCCTCTTTCCAAAGCCTTCCCCGAAAGGCCTACATGAACCATGCGCCGCCTGCAGATGCCAATTGCTCCGCCGCTTTTGCAGGGGAGGCGCCGATCGGCCCTGGCTCGGAGCGCCGCATGAGAAAACTTGTCTCCAGGTCCTCCTCATGCGTGCCATAAAAGGCATCAATGCCGAAGAGGCCGCGTATGGCCTCGGCCCCTGACTTGTCAAGGAGGTTTTGCGGGTCCTGCGTGAAGTTTGCGCAGGAGTGCGTCCACTCGTACTGCCCGCCTTCAGCCAGCTTCTCGGTGCGGCGGGCGATCTTGAGGCCTTGACAGGCCTTGACAGCATCTGCCCCGAAGGGCGACTCAGACCTGAAAGAACGTGAGGCAGTGTTGCGTGCCACACGTCGATCAGGAGGCGTTGTCGCTCTCCCAGCACGAATGGACATGCTGGCCCGTTGCAATGACAATTCCGAGTCACTCCGAGGTTCCAGGAAGAGGCTGCAGCTGGAGGCCTCCAAGCTGAGCTACAGGGGAACCTGCCGCAACCTCAGGGGAGTTGCCGCCTTCCCAGCACCGCCCTGCTCTGGGTCAGGTTGCTGGCCCGCGACAAGATGAAGGCCAGTCGTCAGACCGGCAGGATGCGGTGAAAAGTCGGTTTGAAGGTGGCCACCAGTGCAGTGCACGAAGACGACAACCAAAAGGCGCACACGTTGTGGAAAGAGGCGCGCCTTTGCGACAGGTTGGAGCATGCTGGGAGATGCTTTTGAGCAGGTCTTGAACCTTCGTGTGGACCATCGCAGGCATCCGGAATCGCTTGTATCCCAAGAGTGACAGGAACTTGCAGTCGGCTCGCGAGCAGAAATCAAGTCCTCCAGGTGTTTGGAGTCGGCTGCGTGCGCTGCACCAGCAGTTGCAGAGTGCGCCGCTGTTTGTGTTCTTCTAAAGGAGTGCCACCCTCGAATTCCCCACCCGCGAAAGGTTCCTGCGGCTGCAGCTGCGTGCTGCAAGGTGCCTCGGTGTGCCTCGGCTCATTGACTGAGATCCTCATTGCATGGACTGAAGCGCTGCAGTGCTTTCCGAGGACATGGTTGCGGCTGCTGCATCACATGCTGAGCTTGCACGCGCTTTGCAGAAGGAGCAGCCCAAAAACGCAGCTTTTCGGCAAACAACCACCGCCCCGTCCCTCCTAGACCTCGGCTTGTCACAGGTGGAAGTCTTAGCTCACTGGCTTGGGCATCTCCGCGCGGGCGGAGAAGAAGAGACGGCTCTGGAGCAGGCGCCCGCGGTCCAGCGGAAGAACAGTGCGGTCGCTCCGCCCCGCTCCGGCCTTTGCAGGTCCAGGCGCTCAGTCGCTTCTGGCTGGGAAGCTTCGCCGGTTCGGGCCTTTGGCGCGTTGCCCCATGGGCTTTAAATGTCGACATGCCACTTCGCGAGGCCTTGCGGAGGCCTCTGACTGGATGGACTCCTGTGGCCTCGGGCCGCATCTCCTCTGAGCGCGCTCAGAAACACCTGCAAAAAGCTGAATGTTGCTTTCTCATCTCTTGCTGTGACTTGCTCTGCTCAAGCTGTGCTCGCTGGGCTCTCTCTGCCACTCGGCTTTGCAGGCAAAGCAGGCGTATCGGCGGCGCGAGTCGCCGGAGCGTGCCCAGGCCGGGGGAAGGAGTGGTCGACGGTCTTCGACGCAGCCGGCTCACAGGACTCGAAGGGGCGAGCCAACCACACTGGTCAGATCTACTGCAGGACTGAGATTGTCTGAGAAATTCAAGCCCAAGTCTTCAAAAGTCCAAGCTCAAGATGTTGGAGGAATTGCGGCAATGCAGTGGAGGCCGAGTCCCGCGCACCGTGCATCCACTGTGCTGTCGTTTCGTAGCTGCTGAGCTGGACGTTCCTGTTCCACCTGTTCAGGTCCCAACGAACATGGTGGCTCCTGCGCCATCTCTGTACCGAAGCAGCATGTAGAGCACGCAGAGTGGCATGAGCCGTGTTCTCCAAGAACACGAAGACGAAGGCCTGCTACGAGATCACCCTCCCCACAAGACCGCGGCTGCAGCCGCAGTGAAGAGGGAAGCCGCATGAGCTGCGCGAGCTCGTGTCCGATGTCTCTCCTCGAGGTGGCAGTGCTTACTATCGCACACAAAGCACCGAGTCGCTGAGCTCCCAGAAGCGGTCACAAAGCCGGAACCTCAAAAAAGACCCCGCATCGGCTCCAGCAAGCTCTGAAACTATCTTCAGGTCCACAGTCACGGTCCCTGTCGCCGTCAGCACAGCAGGATGTTGTTGTTGTTGCTGTTGTTGTTGTTGTTGTTGTTGTCGTTGCTGTTGCTGTTGCTGTTGCTGTTGTTGTTGTTGTTGTTGTTGTTGTTGTCGTCGTTGCTGTTGCTGTTGCTGGTCGTGTGTGTGTGTGTGTGTGTGTGTGTGTGTGCACGCGTGCGATGTTGCTCCGTGAAGGCAGTAGACCTTCGAATCGAAAGTGTCCGGCCAGCAAATAACGGCGCGGGCCTCAGACATAGTGCCGGCGAGGCGCCAGCGAGCATGTGCGCCGTTCCGTGGCAGGGCAGATCGCTCTCTCCGTGGTGACCTGGGGCGAGCCTCGGGCTCCTTCGTGGAAGTCGGCTGCTTACGATGAGGTTCTGTTGACTCGCGTAGAGAAGTCCTTTGCAGGTCTCTTCCGGGAGGAGCTGCACAGACGCCCCCGTCCGACGTCGTGTGTGGTGTCCTCTTCCTCTGCTCCTCGCGCTGAGGTTTCCTCATGGAGGGGCTCGCAGCAGGCCCATTTTATTGTCGGCCTTGACTCTGTTTCCTCCGCTTCCTCTCTCTCTCTCTCTCCCCCACTCTCTCGCCATGTCTATCCATTTCTTTGGACTTTCTTTGCATACATCTTTTTTTTTCCTCTCTCTCTCTCTCTTACCGGCTCTCGTGAAGTTTCTGTGCGTGCGCGTGCCCAGCAGGTCTCCCGAAAAAAGCGAGGCACCAAGGCCGAAGTTTGGGTGGAAGCCGAATTCAGGGGCTGCGTGGCTTCGTGGGCTTTGATTTGTCAATGATTTGTCAATTTGAACCTTCCGCCGCCCCGTTCCGTTAGGCGTCGCGGAGAGCGCGGCAGCTTGCCTGAGACCCAGTACACTCTCAGACTGCGCAGCAGAAAAGAGTGGACTGTGTCAGGCCACCGTTGCAGGTGGCTGGCTTACTTGCGAGACAGCACTGTGTGAGCGGTTTGCACTTTTCGGCTGGGGAGTGGGCCACCAAGTAGCTCAGGACGTGGGCCCCGGCCAGCAACGTGGAGTTCGGATGATGGGTGCCGGGCTTCGTCTTGCTGCCGTAACCCCCCTCGCTCTCTCTGTTGGCCAGGCTCCTCCAGCGCCACGGAGCTGCGGAGCCACGTGCGGGAGGAGGCTCCATCAGAACGGAGCGAACGGAGCGAACGGAGCGAACGCGGAGCGAGAGCGAGGCCACGGAAAGAGACGGATTTTTGCGGAGGCTCACATGGGGCCGGGGGTGGGGCCGGGCCGGCTCCGTGGCGCGATGTTCGCAGGGAGCCCAGAGCAGTGAGCAGCGGTGGAGCAGAGCGAAGAGCAGCTCTCAGCCTCGAGGTGAACTCCTACCGGCCTTTTGCTGCGGACTTCACCAAGGAGGCGCGCTGACGCTGACAATCTCCGCTTCTCTCTCCGCAGAAGTACAGCGCTTTGGCTAAGAGGAGCCTCGGATGATGTGGCCCGGCACCCGCGGCCCAAGAGAAAGGCAGCATGGCTTTCCCGGCTTCCGAGGCGACCGCAGAAGTCTTTTCCTCTGAAGGATGCTCCAGGCCCACACCGAGCTTCGTGCGCGCTCGCTTGAGATTGGCTCAAAGCAGCGGAGTTTTTCCATTCGCGGTCCGACGCCGTGGGGCGACGCCGTGGGGCGACGCCGAGGTTCAGCCAGGCTCAAAGCGCTCGCCTCTGCCTCTGCGAGCGCATCTTTACTCGCTGCACTGTGCTCGCCGGCTGCGTCGGCACTTAAGCGTTCGATAGCTTTGCCCACCGCCTGCCTGCCCGATCCGGGTGCATCCAGGCTCTGTTCTCAGTGATTCTGCCCAGGCAGCTGTCGCAAGTATAGAGTATATCCAGAAGCAGGCTGCAGAATGGTCCGTGGCCACGCAAAGCAGCAGGCAACAGATCTTTGCATGCTGTAGGTAGCCGATCCTGTTGTTTGTGTTAATTTGCTCGCTCGTCGTAGCAGCGCCGTAGCTGTGGTTGCTCCAGTCACAGGAGCAGGAGAAAGGGGCGGCAGGAGGAGGAGGAGGAGGAGAAGGAGGAGGAGGATCTGTGGCATTGGTGGCCTGTGGACGGAAGTCTCTCTGTCAACACAGATGCGACTCGCTCATGAGGGGACGGGCATTCTAAGAGTTTTCTCCTGGAGCTGGCCTTAAGGATGCTGGCGGCCTAGGCGCAAGAGCTTGAGCGTAGGAGCGGCAGACTGCACTGAAAGACAATCATGCTTGTTGCAATGCAGGAGATCGGAACAGTCACAGCACGAACATCATACGAGCCAAGCAAGCCACTGAAGAAGAATCATGCGCATCATTGATGCACGGCCGGGCCGGCGCGGCGAGCATCATGTGCATCATTGGCGCCCGGCCGGGCCCGGGAGGCGAGCATCACGAGCATCATTGGCGGCTCGCTTCTCCATTCCAGGGCAAGCCGAAAAGGAGGGGGTCTCGTCATGAGATTTTGGGTGATGTGTCCCGTAGTCCAGGCGGCATGTTTTTTCTTCAAATTCGGCTTGCCTGCCTCGGCTTGTCCACTGCTGCTCTGCCCTAGCTTTCGTCCCAGTCCCTCCTCCACAAGTGTTCAAAGCTCATGCGTGAGACGGCATATCCAAACAACTTCACCCATAAGTGGCTAGTGACGGCTAGTGGTGCAACTTCACCATGATGTTCTGGGCATGTGAGGCTATCGGGCCTTGCACACCTGCCCACAAAATTTGCATTTCAACATCCCACTCTGATGCAAGTCTTCTGCTCCCTTGGCCGCACTGATAGGAGATGTGTGTCAGAGCGTCATATGCTGTCCCACCTTTAGCGACAGCTTGCAACCGGCATCAGAGTGTGAAGCGAGCCACGGACAGAGGGTGCGGTCGGTCCGAACGCCGGTGGGGTCTTCTACTAACGGCCAGGACAATCAAGGAACCGGGCTCAGACGATGCTTTTGCGCAAACAACAACAAAACGAATCGCTGGGCCCTTCCGCATCTGTTTGCCAGCAGCCAACAGAACAGCATCGCAGTCCTGGAAGTCCATCGCAAACTTTGCGTTGATCTTCTTGCACTCCTCGGCACGCAAGTTTGTTCATGTTTACGTTCATGCCTCCGCGCACTCCGTCAAGGCAGCAAGGTCCTCGAAGTCTTGAGTGGCAAGCATGAGGCCCTGACCAGCCAAATTTGACATCTTGTAACGTCGCTTTGCGAGCCATGCCTGCGGTTCGGTTCTCACCTGGCCATGCTTCAAGACATCAAATACATAGTGCAGTCACATGGAGCTGTGGATCCACACGCACCAGTCCTGTTTACAATCGTGCTGCGAGCGCAGGCTCTGATGGGTTTCTGTTGCCGCAGCTCGTTCCGGAGCGATCTGGTCCATGATCCAGTTGGGAGCCGTAAACGGAATTACTCATGGTGGAGAAGAAGATCGACAGCAGCGATAGCAACGACCAACCACTACAACCATTATAAAGTGAAGGACGACTTCGACAGTGATGACGACGAAGAATGGCTGCAAAAAACACGCTCGCGCCGGTCAAGAAGAAATGGTCTTGCCTAAGCTGGCGCAGCACTAGGCCTGGTTTGTGTTTCCCGCACTATCAAGTAAGCGCCTTTTTGTCTGTCCTGCTGCAGAGTTTTGCAACGTCTTGCGTCTTGCGCAACCAGGCTGGATTCAACTGCCAGCTCCACCAGCCTTAACTGCCGCACACACCATTTACAACATGACCGTTGCAAACAGATCAGGTCGTGCAAGGACTCCAAAAGCATCAGAACCGAGCACGAATGTTTGGACCTACACGTCAACATGCAATCAGTGTCTATGTGTGAAGCCAGGCACGGCTGCACAAAGAAGTTACCGCCAGCAGCAGACAAACCTTGCAACAATGCCGGGGCCTGCGAACGACGAGCTGCTCCTCGAAGTGGGCGGTGTCGGCATTCACCAGGAGATGCATCTCCAAGCAGCCTCTTCGATTTTGTCTGCAAACATGTCCGTACTCTAGATACAAAGGATTGTGATTGCAAAGACCTCCGTTCATGGTTGCTCCTACCCTGGGGAGCCTAGATGAGAAAACATTAGACAACCGGACGCATAGCGTCTGTTCATCTGTTCTTCACGTCGTGCCGTTGCTGGGCTTTGTCCGCGGCAGCGCAACCAGCTCGCCTGGACCGTGTCACGAACCACAGTGGTCTCCATGATATCTTGGGTTTTCGCTGCTGCGAGGCTCAAGAGAAGAATGCAGCGAAGCAGGCGCCCCGCCGCC